AGTAGAAGGAGGAGGAGGAGGAGTAGCAAAAGTATCAGTAGCAGTGGCAGCAGCAGTAGCTGCCCTAATTTTGTGTAGGGCCTTTATTGCTTCAGGATTCGGGATCGTATTCAAACCCTATACGACTGGGAAATCCAGATTAACAAAACATAAAATAAATGTCTAGGGTTGAGGGTTTACGGGTTCAGGGTTTAGGGTACTAAACTCGAAACCCCAAGCCCGAAACCAACAAGAATCAAAGCTGGCTTGCCAATAGTCTTAGAGCTCCAATGCTGAACCAGGTCTCGCACGAGCATATGCAGATACAGATACTTGCAATCCTATGCCCCTCCACGTTTGTTCGTGCCATTGTGTGGAGGGTAAACAAAGCTTTCAAGGGTTTAGGACTTAAGGGTGTCGGGCTTTCGGTTTTGGGGTTTAGCCTTAGCTTGCGTAGTTGGCTGGAGCTTGTTGGTTGATGTTGCATGTTGTTCGAACTGGGTTGCACAAGAGCAGCGCAGCAAGCATGTACGTCAATGTACGCGTACCTGTCGAAATGCAGACACTTTCCCTAGAGGCACAGGCTTGCAGTCGCCTTAAAATCTGAGTATTCAGCAGCTTGGCTACGCTCCCCAATTCCTGTTAGCGGGGTCTCGTGAGTCTAGTGTACCCTGCTACTGTAGCAGTAGCACCAAAATCCTGCACTAGGTCTTCGGGGTACTTACCTGCAGGAAACCCCAGGGCTCCAAAGTAGGTACTGCTTACAGACTTTAGACCCCAAAGTAGGTACTATCTATAGACTGTAGACTCCAAAGTAGGTACTATTTCTAGAGTTTAGAGACCCCCAACTAGGTACTATTTGTATACTTTGAGCCTCAAAAAGAGAGATTCTCCCAAGGATTGTTGTTGGGTCTCTGTCCGGCCCAGAAATGAAGCAAGGCCTGGTCGTTCCTTCCCCGTTTGACTGGGTGGGAATAGGAACGCTAACATCCTTTGAATACCGGAAACACACTCTTGCACCAACTCAGCGACTTTCTCCGTGACCACATGGCGAGATGAAAAAGGGCCGAGTGGGATCGTCCTTTGGGTTTTTTTGTTTAGGATTTCTGGTCCAGGGTATAGGTTAACTACTTACCAACCCCTCAAAGCTCAAGTAATGTACTGTCACTGATTCAATGATTAAGCGCACAAGTCACCTCCTTACATTCGGCCTCTATACCCTAAGCTCTAAGCTCCTGTATAGAACATGAGAGAAAGCCTTGCAGCCGTATACATGTACTTACCTTAAGAACCCAAAACCTACTTTTTTGTAGGGTCCCTATACATCCCATATTATGGTTTATAATAAGAACCTACAAAAAAAGTGGGTTTTGGGTTCTTAAGGTACTACTTCCCCGACGCGACCGAATTGCGAAAACGCCCCGGCAGCCTGACGACACGACTCTGTAAAGGGACAATGCAACCCTGCCATCAGTTGGGACCCTATAGCCCCGTTAGGGTTTAGGGTTTAGGGTTTAGGGTTTAGGGTTCCGGAGCCAAGCCCTTATAAAGTGTCTACTGCTTATGATCAGGGCTGTATAAACGACCATCCAGACTCCTATTCAATCTTCAGCAGCTGGCGCTCTTAAACTTAAAAGTCCTACACCCCCAGAGCCCTAAAACCTGCAAATCCCAAAATGGCCGCTCGGACATTGCCACAGAAACCCTGTGAGCGCGAAAGCTCTGAAGAACCGAAGAACCTTACGAAGACCTTGTAACGCCCCTAGAGCCACAGCTCCACAAAATCATATCGTTCCCTGAAGTACCAAGGGCCTCAAGAACCTATATAAGGAAATATCCTCAACCGCTTCACCCGAGGCCCCTCGACCCATGCAAAAGCCTTTTCTTGACCGACGACCATTCCAAATCCTCCAAAACCCAAAGAAACACAAACTCCCTCAGCCCAAACAGCAGCGCTAAAACTGCAAACCCAAGGCCCTCAGCCTTAAGTCCGTCGTATATAAACACCTACCCCGCTTCAAAGATGCACGCACTACCGTACTACACACAAACACACACATTTAACCCTAACAACCCTGGCCCCTTACACACACACATAGCCCGGTGTTATAAGCCTAAGCAACTCTAAACCTAAACACACACACACACACACATAGCCCGGTATTCATACGGTATGGTACGCCCTATTAATAACCCTAAATAACCCCAAACCCTAAACCATAAACCGTTACACGCACACACACACACACACAACTCTAAACCCTAAGAATGTCTCCCCGTTTCTTGCCCTGCCAAGGCTTTCGGTCGACGAAGGCCTTGGAGCTCTTGGCCTCCGAGGCACTGAGACGTCGCCCAGCACTGCATCTGGGTCCGCGAGGGGTTTGAGTTTAGAGGGCTTTAGCGTTAGGAGTTTTAGGGTATGGGGCTGTAGCGTTTGCAGCTTTAGTGTTCGGAGTTTTAGGGTGCAGGGCTTCAGGTTTGGAGCTTTAGTGTTTGGGGTTTCAGCGTTTTCAGTTTCAGGGTTTAGGCTTTCGGGGTTAGACTTTCAGGGTTTAGAGTTTTAATTAGTGTTAAGGGACGAAGGCTTTAGGGCTTTGGGACCAAAGGGCTTTGGAGTTTAGCGTGAATCATAAGGGTTTAGGCTATGGTCCTTGAGTTTAGGGCTAACAGCCCCAAGAATTTACACCCTAAACCTTTGAGGCCTTGAACCCTGGTCGAGGGTTGGGGTTTAGCACGTTAGAGTTTACGAGCGGAGGGCTTTAACGAATTACCCATGGGCTCCATTGTAGTTCCCTTTTGTGGTTATATTTAGGATCCTATAGGGTAATCCCAAAAAGGAACTCGGAACTACTATGGAGCCTTGGGTAGCTCGAGGGCAGTCAAAGTACGTCAAGTGGGACTTGTGGAGAAAAGGCAATAGAGCCCTAGCAGTCCTGTCAAGGGTTTGACAAGTTTGAGGGCGTCGCAATCACAGTTGCGGGGCTTAGCGGCTTGGAGGCTAAGGAGATGTTTAGTTCTGTGAAACTTCCAGGTTTTTCGAATCAGCCTTCTGTGTTTTCCTCCTTGTTCGTGATAACTGAGTCTATCATGGGTCCGATGTGGTGTCAGCGGTTTGTGCCGGTGTTTCGAAAGGGTTTGCAGAGGCGAGAAATGGCTACACGGACTGGGATTGTAGCCAGGGCTTATGACAGTATTTGCTAACATGCTTCCTGCATCCTTCAAGCAAGGCTTCGGCCCGAAACCCCAACCTTTCAGCACCTCATCCCAAACCCCATGACGCCTTAAACCCACATGTCAATCCCCAAACCATCCCAAACCCATAAGCCTTAAGCCTTACACCTTGACCTCGGGCTTAGGGAAAATAAAGACCGAGAGCGCAAGGAATCGACCAAAGCCCCTGGCAAGCCTAAGGCAACCCAAAGATTTGTCGTCTCTGATCTGGTCCGCTGCACCCTGAGATTCCCATTACAGGAAGGGTTTCGGATTGTCGAGAGTCGAGTTTCAGGCTTTAGGCTCTGCTTTTTGGGGATGTGGGATTGTAAGGTTGTGGCCTTTGTCCCAAGGGGTTCTTTTTGGGTTTCCTTTGAACTTTAGGCTCTGCTTTTAAGGGGAGATGGGATTGTAAGGTTGTGGCCTTTGTCCCAAGGGGTCCTTTTCGGGTTTCCTTTGAACTTTAGGTTGGGGTTCCTTGCCGTTCCCTTTCCGTTTTAGGCTTCCGGGTGACTGTAACATAAGGAGACTAAGTGCCAAATGAGAGCCGATCAGCGGCGAAGTCACGGGAGCAGGGCTGGGCAAGCAAGCGAAACCTTCGGCTCTTAACCTGCTGGCAAGGAACGATGAAGACTACAAGAACGATGCAGACTGTATCCCTTTTGAAGAATGCTGCAGAAAGTCCTTAGGTCTTGAAAGCTAGGGTTATGAGACCTCATCGAGGCTAGAATTGGCTGGAATTCAGGACTTTACTCGTGACTCTATACTGAGGGAGTCCCCTTGATCCGATTTCAGGTTGCGCAAACTCCTAGACCCTTATGGCACAAGTTCCCCGAACTCTTCAAACCGCTACATGCAACCCTGGGCCGTAAATCTCGAGTTTGTTGGGGAGTCTTCGTAGAACCCGAACTTCACAAAGACCCGCCTTGCAGAACCGCGTCAAGAAACGGCATGGCAACCCGCATACTCGGAGGAACTCTTGTGGTAACCCAAAACATCCCGAAAGCAAGCCTACTTGTGCAAAGTTACATGAATCTCTATCATGCCTTCACAAATCCCTTATGAACAACCTTTAGTTGGCCGACAGTTGGCCCGTCTAGCAAATCGCTAACGGAGGACCTGAAGCCCTAAACCCCCAAACCCCAAACCCCTCAACCCTGAACCCCTAAACCCCAAATCCTCAACCCTAAACCCCTATAAACCCCCAAACCCAAAACCCCTATAAACCCTCAAACCCTGAAGCCCCCCTCGGCCCTGGCAGCGCTGAAGGCTGGGACCTTGGCCGCCCGCCACGCGGCCCTGGCTCGCGGACTGCTTCCAGAGAGCCGGTCACGGCGGAAGGAGTTTTCCACGAGGCCCGGGCTGTTTTTCTCGGTTTAGGTTTTGGGGTTTAGGGTTTAGGGTTTAGGGTTTAGGGTTAGGTGTTTTTTTGTTTCACGGGTGTTACAAGATTTTGCTACAACCAGAATGATTGAGGTTTGCGAAGCTGAATCTTAAATACCTCTAAAGCCTCGTGCCCCTAAAACCTGAGACCCCGAAACCCTCGTTATAACCTGTCTCTAACAAATCCTGAGCCTGCTCGCGCAGCTTCCTTCCTCATTGCAGGCAACTTGCCAACATGGCGTGGGCTGCTCGGCCGCATTGTGGGCTGGGCTTAGGGTCGTGGGTTTATGGGTTTTAGGGTTCGGGCTGCAGGGTTTCTCGATTTTGCTGACAGAGGGTGGAGTTTGAGATGTTCTTCTGTTTATGTTTTCGGTTTTGTGGTTGTATGAATGCTCCTTTTTGAAAAGCGGTGGCGTCTAAGTTGCCTTAAACCCCAGGTGTTGTACCGATTTCGGTTGATCTGGCTGAAAAATGGACTTAGACTCAGACTCAGACCCTGTTAACTAATAGCCTCGATAGCGATCCTTGCGTCCTTTGGGTTTTGCGGGTTCAGCTTCCCAACACTTGACACTCTTTGATCCGCACATCCCACAGGATGAGATAGAGGTCATCGTGCTAAGATCAGACTACTCAAATCATTCAGATCATACCAAAGCTACCGAGGAAGAAAGCCTTTTTGCCGTACAATGTCGACTTCCCCGCCGTCCCAAAATAGAGCCCTTTATCACAGAGGCTTTTGCGACAATCGACCCCGAAGCATGGGCCGAAGATGTTCAAACGCTGGTCGACGAGGCGCCGGGGGTCCCAAATCTAACAGGGGTCTACATGTAGCTATTGCTGTCCCCTCACAGTCCCTGTATATATTCTGCGGCTACGTAGTTATAGGCTACATACCTCAAAACTCAAGACCGTACGCTACTTGTTCATAGGGCTTCTTTCCTAGCCCGCAGGGTCCATTCTTGCGGCTGGTTCCAGAACCCAGGCTTCATATAGGGGCCTAAATAATAACCAATACTATTTGTGGGGTTCCTTATTGTGGTTATAGTAGAACATACCCCAAAACCTTATTCTACTTATGAAGGCCCCTATATTCGGTGTCTCTCTTTGTGGCTCCTGACTGTTTAGCATCCAACGTTGGCACAACAATCAGCCGGCCGGAATCATGAGTTCAAACGTCCTGGTGCTGGCGCTTCCGGGATCCGGTGTGCAGGATCTACCTTAAGAACCCAAAACCTACTTCTTTGTAGGGTCCCTATATATCCCATATTAGGGTTTACAATAAGAACCTACAAAAAAGTGGTTTTGGGTTCTTAAGGTAGGGTTTGGAGTGGGATCTGAAAGAGAAGCGCATTTCTTAGTTCCGCCGCGCTTGTGGAGCAGAGTCTCGCCCCATGGCCTCAAAGAGAGCCCCGTATAGAACCTGACGAATCTGGCCCTAACCCCCCAGTTACCTACTATATAGGGCCTTAGGGGCTCTAGTACCCTATATAGTAGGTAACTGGGGGTTTAGGGTGGTCTGGTGGGCGTTGCATGACACAACAGGATTTAGGCTGGAGGAGCAGGATCAAAGTTTGGAGGCTCTCAAGGATTCAAAGCTTGATTGCTAAAGGTGGCTGAACCCTAGAATCTGGATGCTAAGTTTGGATGCTAAGTTAAGTCCCAATTAAGTGGAAGCGACTTGCGGTTTTAGGCATTTGGCCGGCAGCTGCCTGCCAGAGACCTGCCAAGACGCTTGGCTGACTCCGACTCCGTGTTTTCAACTAGGACCGCAACGGCTTTTTCGAATTTGTGTTGAATTCTATTTCGGCTGGGGTTTGAGGGTTCAGGGCTCAGGGTGCAAGTGGCGGGTTCTGAAACTTGGGGCCACCTTACCCGGTGATCCTGAAAAGTTGGTTCCAACTTCGAAAGGTCTCTCTGTCTCGCTCTCTGTCACGGAAACGTCTAACGTCTAAACTCGCCCTTGCCTATTGGAACATTTTGTCTAACAAAAGCCTTTATTTGTCTATAGTAGAACACCCTGTGTAGCAGAAGGCCCTGCGTGACGGAAGGCTTTGTCTTGTCCTACAGAACCGGCAGCCAACCTTAACATCCCTATACCCGTGTCTTGATACATATATATATATATATATAGTTCAGTTACACAATGTGTGTGTGTATATATATATATATATAGACACACACACACAACTGTTCTGACGCTCCCATTTGGCCCATCGTTGTAGGGTGTAGAGTTGACGTCAGGGGCTTCAAGAAATGCAGTCCAGGAAGGTTGGTTGGATTTGGATTTGTCGTGATCGCGGTTAGTTACATGGTTAACATGCAACAGTGAGGCCAAAACCTTCCAAGCAGGGTCAACAATCGAAAAGGGAGGTTACAGGGCAGGGCTTGGAGTGGAGTAAAGTTTTGGGTGAGGTTAGTGTTTTTTTTGGAGGTTCTTCTTTTGTTTCGGGGCTTCGCGTACTGTCTTACAGGTCAGGTTTTGTTTTGAGGTTCCGGTCTTTAAACTTAGGGCTCAGGGGCGGGGGGATTTGTCGGAATAATGCCCCTGCCACAGCCTCCAAGGTCGTTTAAAGCATTTAGACACACTCAGGTCACTAAAGTAAAGCTTACGACGCCCAAATCGAATCCCATTCTTCTCTAGGGCTTCCACAGCCACCAGATCAACACCTACACCAAATGGACACATCGCCCTAAATCGCACGCATGAGAAAGCACTTCATAGACAGCGCCAGAGGACAAAACCGCAGACACCCAAAACACCGCCTGAGACCTTTGCTGGGCACTGGCGGCCATCCGCGGCTCCCCGGGCCCAGCCGTGGCAGCACTGAGCCCTTCGGATGGGACTATGCAGGCTTCTGTGGGTTTTGAAGTTTCCTTTGTGACAGGGTGTTACAAGGGTCGTCAGTTTATGTTTGTGTAAAGGTTGTAAAATTAAGGTTTCGCTTCATAGGGTGGAGCGCAGTAGCCTTACAAACTCCGGTATTAATTCCAGTACGGGTTTAAGGGTTTCTGGGTTTAGGGTTCCCTTATCCCTCATGCAAGGTTCCCTCCATCTATACTGATAAAATTATAGGGTTCCCTGACCATAGTATAGGGTTCTTCTAGGCTCCCCTAAAGTGTGGGCTTTGTCAGGGCTTTATGTGGGGTCTAGAGTCTAGAGTTTCAAGAGTTCAACATCCATTCGGTAAGGGGCCCCTAAAGCCCCAAACCCTGAAGCTCTAAAGCCCTAAACCCCTAAACCCCAAGCACCCACAAGCTCCGATCTAAAGCCCCAAACCCTCAAGCATAATCTCCCCCCCCTAAACCCTGAACCCTAAACCCTAAACCCTAAACCCTCCCCCCGCCCCTCTGCAAAAGAAAAGAAGCCCAAGCACCGACCCCCCTCCGAGGCCCAGATCGACTCGGGGAGCTGCCGCTTGGGCTTGGCTTTACTACTCGGAGGTTCAGGGTTAGGGTTTAGGGTTTAGGGTTTAGGGTTTAGGGTTTAGGGTTTTAGATATACCTGGGGTTATAAATATTAAGGGTTTAGGGTTTAGGGCTTATAGGTTCTATAAGGGTAGATATGGGTAGTTCTCTAAATTAGGGTCCCCTTCAAGGTCCTTGTTTATAAGGGTGCCGTATTATATTGGGGACCTAAAAGGGGACCCTATTTTAGAGAACTGCCCATATACCTGGGGTTCTATGTCCCAAATATAGGTTCTAGCTATAGCTAACCTACTTAAAGCGCCACATATAGCTACCCATGAACCTGCGACTAGGCGCGTAAGACGTGCAGAACATCCCCAAAACTGGGGTGTCTCCAGGCACAGTGATCTGTAAGGAGTCTTTCGGGGTTTGCAGTGATTAGCCATACGGCCTGTTTGAGGGTTTAGGGTTTAGGGTTTAGGGTTTAGGGGGCTTCCACCGTTGAGAAGGTTCTAAAAGCAGCTTCTACAAGGTTTCTATTGGGCTCTTCTGAGGGGTCTTTGAGATTTCTGTTGAGGCTCCCTGGATTGTCTGGGTCCACCAGTCGTACCCACAGGCCCTTTGAAGTTCGGAAAACAGCACCGTTCATGTTCAAGGGCATCCGGGGGTACTTAGACAAGACTCCAATGCGAAGCTACAGGGCCGTGTCGAAATCATGGCCAAAGAGCTTTATTGCTTGGGAAAGGGGGGCTAGGATGATGATGGTTCAGATCATGTCATTTTGATTGGCACCAGCCCCGAAGAGACAAGAGTCGGAGTGGGTTTCGAGGCGGTGTAGAGTGCAGGGTTTAACGTTTATGGCTTACTTTCATTTTTTGAGTGTAAGGATTAGTAGGATCCCTGCCGTCTAGCCTTTACACCGCCAAGGACGCCCGATAGTAACTCCTAGAGGAGCCGTTGGAAGGAACCAAACCCTAAACCCTAAAACCCTAAACCCCTAAACCCCAAACCCTAAACCCTAAACCCCAAACCCAAAACCCAAAATCCAAAACCCAAAACCCAAAACCCTAAACCAACCCTCTAGTATACCTTTGAGCCCCCAAGCCTGAGCAGCGTGTTGCGGACTGCAGCCTAGAGCCGAGGTCTCCCGCTGTCCTGCCCGGAATCTGCTGGGCCCTCGCGGCGCCTCGGATTTTTTCATGTCGTCCTCATATTTTCCCTTTAAAGGATGCTCGAAAACCTGCGTAGTACGAAGCGTGGCTTCGGTATTCTGATGTGCTGATATGCTTCCTGTACAAATCCACTATACTAAAAAGGGACAAGGGTCAGAGGCTGCTGTGCAAGGATCCGGGTGCCGATCTGGGCTCCATGACTTCAGGGTTCCTATGAAGGTTCCCATGCAGGGGTTCCGACACGGGTCCGCGAAAAATGTGTAAACCCTATGCTATAAGTACGTAAGAATTGCCAAAATACCCCGCAACCCGAGCGTATTCATTAGTTTGAGGCCACTAGACTAATCCGAAACCGTTTGGGGCTTCGGCATCTTCACAGCATGAATGTCCCAACTTATTCTGACGCCTTCAAACGCCATCAACATGCCTAAAAACAAGACAAAACCAAGCCTTCTCCAGCCCAGTGAAGCCCCAAACCCCGAAGCCACCCCCCCTTTCCCTTCCACGTACACCTTAATAGAGCCCTTATGGCTCTTAAAAAGTGGGTATGAATTTGTACGGCAAATTGAATGGTAGGCAGTTACAAGTGGTATTATAAGTCGGATGGCTGAGTTATTATATCCCAAACCTTCAACCCTAAACGAGACTTATCACCCCCACTTATAACTACCCATGAACCTCCAAGTATTTTTTGGGAAGTTGAGCTTCTAGAGTCCGCCAGCTCCTAGGCTCCTGTAGAAGGAGCTTGCTTAAGCTACCATATATCGTTTTCCTTATTGTGGTAACTCATGGGTAAGCTGCCTTAGCGCAAATTCCTCACAGCAACATGATAAGGCATTGTAACACCCCATAAACCTCTACAAGACTCTGTGAATGTTTGCTAACGAACCCAGTCCCGAAATCCCCTAAAGCCCAAGATCCTAAATCGGGGAAGCTTTCAAGAACTCCTATGAAACCCTTTTCAACCTTGAGAAGGACCCAGTCCCTCAATCCTAAACCGAAGCCCCAAAGCCCAAAACTCGGAGAAGGCTCTATACAAAGACCTCAACAACATCTCCCTACAGACCCCTTTAAAGCAACCCTGTGACACCCCTTAAAGCCCCAAACCCGCAGCCCCAAACCCTAAACCCTAAACCCTGAACTTTACCTACCGAGCCCGGTCTTCGAGGCTGTCGCCGCCCCGGCGGCGGCGGAGGTGCTCGGATCGGCTGTGCCACACAGCGAAGGCCACCGGAACTGGGCTTTTCAACCGGTGGGTTTTGGGGGTGGTTTACCTTAAACCCTGAACCCTAAACCCTGAACCCTAAACCCTAAACCCTCTAGGGGTTCAGGGTTTAGGGTTTAGGGACTGGCGTTTTTCAGAAAGGCGCTTTTGGTAGTTTAAGGGGGGGGCCTGCTTGAGGGGATGTCGGGGCCTTTGGGGTTTAGGGCTGAGGCTCGGGTTCAGGGTCTGGGTCTCAGGGTTTGGAGTTGTTGGTTCTTCTTGTTGCCGCGGTTGGTTCAGTGGTTTAGGGTTTATAGGGTTTAGGAACAGCTATCAGGGAGATGCATCTAAGTATTCCGGTCTTTGTTATTGCCCACAGTACCTTGCATCACGCAGCCGCAAGCCTGTGCGGCGCAACACCAACAATAACTTAGTCCCCGAAGCCTTATAAACCCAACATCACCATGAAACCCTAAACCCTAAACCCCAAACCCTTGAAAACCGTGAAATAAACCCTAAAACCCCAACGCCACACGCCCAGATTGCAGTGCCTCCGGCATCGCTCGGCTGCTGTGGTGTTTGGCCAAGCTGCAGGAGGCAGTGTGTGTTTTGGGTTCGGCTATAGGACTTCGGTTCTGGGTTTGGGGCTTTAGGTTGCCCAAACTAAGGGTTTAGGGTTTAGGGTTTAGGGTTGGCGATGGCACCTGCCTGAAGCAATTGCCAATGCAATTCGGTACTGCAGTACTGTTGTAACATGCCCCCCCAACCCTACTCTGACTTCAACACCCCCTAAAGCCTGCATGGTTGATGCTATAAACCCTGCATCACTCATAATGAGGAACATACCATAATTCCCATAGTTTAGGGTCCTTAAGGTAATGCAGGATTTGTATCATCAACAGTACTGTAGTACATGCACATCCCGAGCTTCGAAAGTTGGCTTAGAGCTGAAGTAGGGTTGAAAGTAGAGGTCTGAACTTTGAGAAACAGAGTCCCTCATGCGTACTGTAGAACTATAGTATATTATGCACCCATAATACCCTGGTCTTCTGCAACTAGCAAGGTCCTACATCAATTCATTTGTGGCTCAATTGGGCTTGCGAAGACTCGCAAAGACTCTGATATTCTGAAGCCCCTGAGTCTAAGCCCTGCTGTCAATCCCTATGACACTTCCAAGAACATACCTATTGACCCCTCATCCGTGGAGGCAGCCCAGCCTGTTTGGAGAACCGCGGATGCAGTGCTTGGAATCTCAGGGGGCTTGGGATAGGTCACTGCTTTTCTCCGGCTTTAGAGGATTTTAGTGTGTTTGTGAGGGTCATTGCAAGGGTAAGTAACGGTCAGTATAAGGGTTTCTGTAGCTAGTATCCTACTCCCAGCAAAGTTGGGGCTTTGGGGTTTGCTTAGTTGTTTAGGGATATTATACTCGAATAGCGCTTACGAGTCCGGTTTTAGATGGGTTCTAGCCAGGGTCTTGGGCTGCGGGTTCCAGGATTTCAGGGCTCAGGGCAGATAGTTTAGGGCGAGCTTAGGCAGGGCAGGCAAGAGGCACCGGAATGGCGCGAGAAGATGAAGCAGGCGCTTTCCATAGATTCTGGTGGAGTTCTTCAAGCTCTCCCCCTATCCTTCAGCCCGAAGTTCTCAGAGGATTCAGGTTCGAAGCTGTATGTTATACGTACGTACGTACGTACTTATGTACGTACGTATGTATGTACGTATGTATGTATGTATGTATGTATGTATGTATGTATGTGTGTAGTGTATATGTATTTGTGTATATACATATATATACAGATATATATATGTACATATATGTATACAACCCTTAACAAAGCCCCATTACTTGTCGCTACTAGCCCGAAGCCCCATTTAACCCTGAAACTTCCCGAACCCATCGAAACCCTAATCGTCAACCCTGGTGCCTCCAATCCCGATTAGAGACTTTCACCGATTTAGCCATGTAGTGTAATGACCCTATGCAACCCTTGGCTAGGCATGCTAGTGACCTGTCGTCTTTACAGTTTTTGCAGACGTCGGACTCATTAATACTATCATGCCCTGATAATTAGGCATTGCGGGTTCCAAAGACCCTATCCACCTAGTGAAGCCCTTTAAAAACCTCTCGTCTAATTTCAGCTACCCTCTTAGGCGAACGGCCTCTCGCCGAGTTACTGAGTTCAACACGCTCGACGTCAGGACCTGACAGAGATTGAGACTGACGTCCTTCAATAAAGTGCTCATTGTTATTGGGTTTAGGGATGTTTAGGGCTTATGCTGACAGTAAAGGGTTCCTCAGCAAGGATGCGTGCTGACTTGACATGAAGAAGGCAACTTGTGCTTTAACTGAGTGTTCTTTATAGGATGAAGGGCACCGCATTTAGGGTGCCTGGGCTGGGTTTTGGTGTGGTGGTGGCTGAGGCTAAACAGTATTTTTATATTGGGACTGTCGGGAGATAACTTATAACCATTATATATATATACATATATACATATATATATATATGTATATACATATATGCATACCACCAGTTTCCAGGTCCTCAAGCGTGTGTCTTTCGCATGGTTGCTTGGGGGATACCGGCGTGCATGTTTAGGCTTTCTTGGGCCACCAGCAACAAAAAGAACCCTACTTCGTCTAAGGAGTTACCGCAGTTCGTGTTTCCCGACCGTGATTAAAACAACAAATGCGATTTGCGGCAGGTATAAATGAACCCCGAACCCTGAACTCATACATCCGGATCTCTAAACCGTAACCCTGGAAGCTGAACTCTAAGCCCTGAAGCCTAGACCCAAACCCTTAGCCGTCTTACACCCAGACCTCGCAAAGCTGCGAGCCATAGATCCGAAGGAGCCCAAGAAGAGTTCCATAGATACCCTGAGTGCTGGTAGAAACAGGACTTCAGGGAGACTTGTCAATTTTGGCAGAGTATTTAGGACCTTAAACCCTAAACCCCTAAACCCTAAACCCCTAAACCCCTAAACCCCTAACCCTAAACCCAAGGGCTCAATTGGACCATTCAGTTCGGATGTTTAGGGCGTTGTGGGCTTCCCCAAACTCCAAACTTCAGACCCTCGGCCCTAGGCCGTAAGCATGGGCTCCATTGTACTTCCTTTTTGTGGTTTGTATTGAGGATCCTATAGGGTAATCCCAAAAAGGAACTACTGTGGAGCCTTTGGGTAGAAGAACTTCAAACAACCTTGAATCCCAACTGCTACTTCGCTGAGGGTGAAGGGCTCATGGTTGCTTTGCTCCTCAACCTCAAGCCTGAGCATGCAACATGGGGTTTAAGGTTTAGGGTTTAGGGTTTAGGGTTTAGGGTTTAGGGTTTAGGGGGTCGAATGATCAGCAACAGCATCCTTTTGTAGCCTCTGTATACTTATACCATTACGTCATAGTATACCCCAAAACCCCATTCCAATGATTCCGGCCCCTACACTCTGTATAACCCTTACAGCAGCCGTGATAGAACCCTTACAGCAACCCTGCTTCTAGAACCGTTACAGACTGTAGAGCTCCTTTAGATGCCCTAAGCCTAACCCCGGGGCTCCAAATAGCCCCAAGTAGGTACCATTTATAGACCTTAGACCCCAAAGCAGGTACTATTTGTGTACTGGTTCCTTATTATAGTTATAGTACCCCCAAAAAACCCTATTCTAATTATTAAGGCCCCTACATTAGCATTATGCTTGGAGCCCTAAACCCTAAACCCTAATCCCTAATCCCTAAACCCTAAACCCTAAGCCCTAAACCCTAAACCGGTAAAGCCCAGATCCTTGGGTGTTTTTGGCTTTCTCGGTTTGAAGGAGCGTGGCTTGGGCAGCCGCGAAGCTCGAGCCATGGCTGTCTTTCTTTAGGGCTTTAGGGGTTTAGGGTTTAGGGGTTAGGGTTTAGGGCTTAGGGTTTAGGGTTTAGGGTTTCGGGTTTAGGGTTTAGGGTTTAGGGTTACCACGAGGATCTAGAAGGTAAAGGGCTATCATTTAAGCGGTTTCTAAGGGTTGCTAGACGGCTCTGGGGTAGAAGAATTAAAAGGCTTTCTACAAGGTTTCCTTCAAGGGAGTCTACCATTAACGGGTTTCCTGGCTCCACGTACACTGGTATTGATTTTCTTGGTCAGCCCCTTAACACAAAAGCCCATGGTGTCTAAAGTCTATAAATAGTACCTACTATTCAACAACCTGTTTTTATGTCGGGCCTAAGTGCCTGAGAGACCAACGCTGTTAACTGGAAGGAAGCCTTCTAAACCCATCCAGAGCTCTTATATACAGCCCCATATGAGATCCCACTAGAAATTCCAGAGCTCATGAGAGGAGCCCCGCAAAGCCCTTATACAAGTCCATGGTCCATAGCCCTTTTCAACAAAATTCACCAACCAAGACATGCCTACCCTGAGCCCTTGAGCCCTTATCAGCCCTAAACCCGAAACCCTAAATCCTAAACCCTTCAGCCCTTCTATAAGCCCTAAACCCTATAAGGAAACGGCTGCCAAGAGCCTCGCTGAGCTGCTTGTGGCCCGGGTGCCCCATGCAGAGTGGCCTGGCAGCTGCCTGGTGCAGGAGACGGTTCAGGGTTCAGGGATTTACCAGGACCCCCCAATGGCCCTTTAATAGAGCCCTTCTGGTCCGTAATAGTGGGTATTTGGGGCTAGAATAGAGGGTAGTTGGGGGGTTTAGGTAGGGGTTTGGAGTTTGGGAGTAGGGATTTAGGGGTTTGGAGTTTTGTCAGGTTTGGGGAGAAGGGATTTTTCAGAGTTTAGGGTCTAGCCTGAAAGCCCCAGTCCTGTGCAGGTCGCGTGGGCGGCCGCGCGGCTCGGCGTTTTCGACACGCACGCGGCCGGAGCCCTGTCCGCGACAGATCCTTCGACGCTGCGTGCGCAGGCCCTTTCCCGATGCGAGTTGGTTGCCGGTTTCAGGTTCGGGATTTAGCGTTAGGCTAGGGCTTTCGTGTTTAGGGTTTACTGTGCTGCGCAGATGAACACGACTAGCTAGAAGTAAAAACTGGTAGGGCGGGGACTGAGAAGCATTCTAGCTGGCCTCAAGCTAAGGCACCTGTATATGGAACATAACAATGACAAGTGCCAGAGCCTCTGTAAAGGACACTTCGGGAATGGAAGATACCGTAAACCGTTAAACTAGCAGACCCCAAACCGTAAGCCCTCAAGCCTATACAGCCTGGGCTTACGGGCGCACAGCAACAAGCTTTCCAAGCAGAACATGCAGCAGCTGCTGGGCCCATTGAGGCTGTAGTTATATTGTAGTACAAGCTCAAAGCCCTACGCCCGAGAGCGCGGACTTGAAGTCGCTCGTTCCGGAGTTTGCAGACGAGTCTGCTGCACTCACGCAGCCCTTTCCCTAGGACTCTAAGGACTCATACTTGAAGGCTTTTGGGCCCAAAGCCTTCAAGTATCAAAGACCCTATTATGTAAGGCTTTTGGGCTATTTTGATGCTAAGGGTTTTATGGTCCGGAGAGGCGGCTTCAATCACACGCGGCAGATGTACCAGAGGGCGTGCGAGCCTGCGAGATACGCATGGAAACTTGATGGTCGCTCTGTCCAGGCTAACTCATAGAGTTCCCTCCAACATGCAATAGTTCCGTCAAGCCTAAGTAGTCCTTGCAGGAGCAGGAGGACCGTATGCAACCGGTCAAGATCCACCCTCAATGCGACCTGCCGTCACTATGTGTAGCATGGAGCGTGCTATCATGTGTGTTCGCCTCGCATAGCGGCATGGCGTGCGAAGAGATTCGTCGCCTGCACTGGAACACTGCCGAAGAGCTTGCTGACACGGCAGATGCCATGCATGTGCCCAGCGATCTGTGGCAGACTTAACGCAAACCCTACCACCCTAAACACATGAATAACAATTCCGGGCCCTAAACTCTGGTGTTCGTAAGAAAAGCAAGGACTCGGTCTTGATGTATTCTCTATGCCACTCGTCTTCATAGGGAACCCCTGTATTGAGGCGTATTGGATTCTGCCAAGCCCGTAGAAAAAGCTTGAATTGAAGATCCTCTGTCAGCCCATTTAAAGCCCTTGAAAACCTAGTAAGCCTATATTATGTAGCTGGTGCTACACTGACTTAAGCCATGATGAAACACCAAAGGAATGTTGGAGTCCGCACCTACGATTACAAGCACAATAGGACCACGTAAGACTCAACAATACCTCAATGGATAAGCAATCAGCTTAGACGTACAAGTTTATACACAACGATGGCCCCGTATAGTCTCTATACAACTATACTATACTATGCCTCTCCGAAACAGACTCTATTTCCTTAATACTTAAAGGCCCTGTAGCACGTGGCGGGCACCGAGATTCAAGCCTGCCTCGTCGTCAGGATGTCGCTCTAAGTGCCTGGACCTTGGCGACGTGGGGTTACGAAGGCGCCGTAGAGCTCGTGGGTTTCCTAGGGTTTAGGGTTTAGGGTTTGGGGTTTAGGGTTTAGGGTTATAGGGTTTATCTTCGAGTTGTCAGAAATTTTTACCTGAGAGCTCTTTCAGGCGTTCTACAAGGACTCTATTGGGATTCTCCAGGGGGTTCTAGGATGGTTCGATTCTTTACCGGCTCTATAGTTCTGAAGGGGCCTATAGGGCCGATCTAGAGGTTCAGAGCTTCTAGAACAGTTCAGCAAGGTTTACACAACTGAGCATCCGATCCACCGTTTAGGGCGTCAGGGTTTTAGGGTTTTTTGTGTAGGAGCGTGGTTCGGGGTTCAGAAGTCTGCCGGGCTTTCCAGGGTGTCCAGAAGAGCTCCGCGTGGGTCTCTGCCGAACTCTATAAGGGCTTTGCGGCTTGACGGCTTCGGCCTTCGGGTTCATGGTTCTGATGTGTTTCTGCTTGGGGGTTTAGTGTTTCGGGGCAGAGGATGCTCGGGAGCAGCAATTCAAAGTGTTGGGCTCAGAAAGTTTGTCATGTGTATAGTTAGTGTGGTGTCCGTTCCTTGCTTGAGGGTGCAACGTGCTACTCCCAGGGTCCACGTACCTATGTACTACATACATTCATGAGCGCTGCAGTCACTCTATCATCGGAAGCCCCCTATAAGGCCAAAGAGCACTATGCAGGTACATGGGCCCTTACAGTTCGCGTTGTAGGATTTCGGCTTGCCGACAGTAGGACCAAGGCTCTCTTCGGGTTTAGAGTTCCAGGGGTTGAATTCTAGGATCTGTAGCCATCTTTTTCGGATGTAGATGGGGTGTGTATGCTCACACAAGGCTTCGGGCTTGTTTGGAACTCGGAAGCTTTAGGTAGAATTTGGCCGTGAAATAGTTCAAGGGTGCAACTGTTCAGGGCTCGGCAGTCCACTCTCTGCAGACTACCTGCAGCCCTTCACGGTGGTCTAAATCCGAACCCGAAACTAGTGTCTCTAGTGATCTTCGAATAAACCCTGTCAACGTCCGTACAACACCCTCCTCCAATCCCTTGTTTGAAACCCTATAAGCCTTCTGTCCTAAACCCTCCACCCCAACTAAGCACCATCTTGAACCCCAACCAAACACCATCTTGAACCCCGAACCCCAACTAAACACCAGGGTACCATTATGGAATTAGGTCCCAACAGACCATCCTTATTATGGGTTTTAAGGGCCTAATTCCATAATACCTATAGTCTCCATTGTAGTTCTTTTTTGGGGATACCTTATAAAATCCTTAATGTATAATTGGTTAAACCAAAGGAACTACAATGGAGACTACAGGTAGTAGTATATCCTGAAAGGCCTCAAGTCTTTCCAGGCTCCGAAGGAGGCCTCGTTCAGTTCGCAGCGGCCGCGGCGCAAAGGGCCGAGGCACTTGAGCTGCCAGTCAATGACGAGTGTTAATGTTAAAGGGTTTAGGGCTTGAGGGTCGTAAGGTGTCTGCTATAAGGCTTCGGGTATAGTATAGGAGTATCGGGTTTAGAAGTTCAGGGCTGAAGGGTTTAGGGCCTTAAGGTTTGGAGTCAGAGGCATGGGCACGGGGATCCCAGCCTGAGACTTTAAGCCCCTCCTATAACTCGTGCGGGAGTTTACGGCTTGGTGGTTTCTGCATCATGAGCTCTGCAGCAGTATCCTCTTCGGGAAACAGCCGTGAAAGGCGTGTGTTTGGGGGCGTTCGCCGAATGTCCTGAAGCTGAAGACACTAAACCTTAGATGTTGCAGCCTGATTCCAGAGGTCATGGCAAGCACTGCTATAATTATGATTTGCATGTTCTCTGTACACTCCATATTCTTCAAGTCATTCCTTCTTATAGGTGCCCGAAAAACCCTACTCTAAGTTATAAGGCCCGTACATTAAACCTAGGGCCTTGGGCTTCCCTAAACCCTAAACACTAAACCCTAAACCCTAAACCCAATGCAAGGCCCTAAACTCTAAAATTCTCAGAACCTTGGGTAAGTGAGACTTCAATCCTTCAATCTCTTGACTTCGGATAAGGGTTTAGGGCTTAGGGTTTAGGGTTTAGGGTTTAGACCACCAGCTTCGGACGGGCAGTTGAGTCCTGGCTTCTCTATGGAGGACAAACGAACCCCGGGGCTCCAAATAGCCCAAAGTAGGTACTGTTTATGGACTTTAGAGCCCAAAGTAGATACTAGTTCTGTACTAGGAGCCCCGGGGAATTCAGCATCAAGGTCAAGGCATGCGGCCTGCGCCTGAAAAGGCGCATGAACTTGCAAAGGCTTGTTTTAGGCGCATCTTTGAACTTCCAGCTTTAGTTTTGCAGCTGGCGGCTGTGAGCTTATACGAACCGGGTACAATCATTAAGCCAATCATATAGAACCTCCAACAATTCTTCGTCTTACAATTCAAAGCATGTTCTAATGAAGTTAAGGGATCGCAATTGCTCAGGAGTTTGCAGCCCGAGATGTCGCCAACGTCGCCTGGGCTTCTTGGCGCGATCTTTGGAAACCCACGCAGGTCGATTAGGGACCCACAGAGCCCAACGTACCCCTTACAGTAAGTCAAGGGTTACAGGTTCTAGGGTGTAGAGTGTCGCAGGGTTGGGGTAATTCGAGACAAAGGATGCATCATGAAGCTTGATTGAAATTGGGAGAGTTTGGTCATTTAGGTTTTAAGGCGTAGGGAGGCTTATAGTTGGGGGTTGATCCACATCCTGGTCTGATCGGCTAGGTATGAAACATGCATTCCGGATTTAGACGGTTAACATATCCCCGAACGCTGTAATCTGAGCTGAAGCTGTCCCCTAATCTGTTTGTGCTTCTTTTTTTGCGAGGGGGATTCCGTGAGCTGCAGCCCAGGCAGGCTGTTTTGGGGGTTGCTGCCAACAGCCTTGAGAGGACCGAAATGAGAGAGCGAAGCCCTAAACCCGCCTCCTTTTCGTTGTGAGAAATTCGACATCCCAAACCCTACTGAATGGCCCTACTGTTTCGAGAGTTACGCCATGTTATACCCATGCATATATACAGCATTGCCTACGCACCATGTTGCATGGTTAGGCTCTGCAGATGGAGTTCGTGGGGTTCAGGGATCTAAGGCCTGGGGTCGAGGTGAGGCTAGGTTTTGAGGATTCGGGGAGGGTTTCGGGCACTTAATCCTGGGGACGGTTCAAGCAGTTTAGTGGATGTAAGGCAGCTGAAGAAAACCATTCCATCTTTCTGGCGTCTACTTCAACCTGTAAACCGTCAACCCTTAGCCCTGAATCCCCGCAAGGCCATGGCATCGCAAGCTCTCATCGACGAACCAGCAATCGTCGCGCTGGCGGCGAGGGCGCAAAGGACAGTTGGGGCTGCCGGGGATGGGGGAGGAGGAAGAACCCTATTCCCTAAACCCTACCTGTAGTCTCCATTGTAGTTCCTTTTTTTGGTTTAACCAATTATATATTAAGGAGTTTATANNCCCTATTCCCTAAACCCTACCTGTAGTCTCCATTGTAGTTCCTTTTTTTGGTTTAACCAATTATATATTAAGGAGTTTATAAGGCATCCCCAAAAAGGAACTACAATGGAGACTATAGGTAAACCCTAAACTCTATAAACCCTAAACCCTATTCCTAGACTGTAAACCCGAAGGGTTGGGATTTGGGCATCGGGGTTTGTGGGTTGCGGGCTCGGGCTTCGATGTTCCTTCACTATGAGGGGGCATCCATATGAAAACTTGTACCCCGCCGACACGAGAAAGGTTTAGGGTTTCGGGTTTAGGGTTTAAGGTTCATGTACCATATAAGGATTCATAGTATGCGGGTATAGGGCCACTGCTTATGACCTTACGCCAGAAAGTAGGGCTTTGGGTCAAAAAAGCTGCGGCCACACTGGTAAGCCAGTCTTGACCCTCTCTTCAGCATTGGATTAGTTGGTTCTTTCGCAGCCCTCGGCCCCAACCGCTGTAGAACCCGTACAGTAAACCTGATACACTCAATAGCTCCGTAGCGAAGGGACCTAGCAAACGCATCAAACCTTGATATTACGATATTAAAGCCATATTCCTCAAATTCTGTTCTTCATCAATAGCCCTTGACTCACCGAAATAAGATTCTATAGGCCCTACACACGCGTATTGAAGCCCTGGTGCCTTTCCAGATTCCAAATTCACACCCAACGAAACAGACCAACCTCTGGAAACAAAATCATAGAACCCTACAGCTCTTATGGAAACCCCATGCAAGCCCTGCTTGGGGTGTCTGGGTCGTCGGGACGGCTAGGACCATGTCAGAGATGGAGCTCCAACATTTGTGCCTCTCGGCACATTTTCGGATTTCGGTTAGGGATAGAAGGTATTAGAAGGTTTGACCTCGCCCAAGCCTTTAGTCTGATCACGTATTGAGGCCCGTAAAATGGGGTGCCCGCTAAAGCCTACACCCAGTGCTCTAAACCCTAAACCCAATCATTCAATACCCTAAACCCTAAACCCTAAACCCTAAACCCTAAACCCTAAACCCTAAACCCTAAACCCTAAACCTAAACCCGGAACTTACAATGCACGACTTAAGGACTTAAGAGCCTACTGGTAAATCCTAAAACCCTAAACCCTTAAAGGCTGTACGAGCCGAGGCAATCTTCTTTGGGCCTTTGCCACCTTCTCGCGGCTCGACTCGCAAGTCAGGTGGTCGGATCCCTGGAATTTTCGGTTTAGGGTTTAGGGTTTAGGGTTTAGGGTTTAGGGTTTCGGGTGTTCGGGTTTAAAGTTCAGGGTTTCGGTAGGGTTATCTTAAGCCTTAGGGTTTTCTGGTTTAGGGTTTTAGGGTCGAGGGTATTAGGGATCATCGAGGCTTCAGATCTGACATCGGGGGGGTGGAGGCGTTCTGGCAGCTATCACGTGGGCTTTATTCTGCAGCGTTTTGCAGGGGATTTCTTAACATTGGGAACACGTTAGTTTTTGGCTGAAGGGCGTAACTATACAGGGCCCTTAAAAATGAGGATGCGGTTCCCTCTGGGCTGTTTGAGTCATTTTATAGGAATCCGATATGGTGGGCGAGGGACATAATGTAGGGGCCTGCATAGCATAGCCAGTAGTATTCCCGAGGCTTCCTTGGTATACGCATGTTCTGGGTATAGTACCGAATATTTGCAGAGCTAAAAAACGATCCTGACCGGACATGTTCGAACCGGGCCGGCGGCAAAGCTGGATCGTGCGGCCTCTCGGGCTTATCGAGAAGGCCGTGGAAAGACTTCTAAACTCTAAACCCTAAACGGCGGAGTGAAAGGGGGCCACTGCACTTCAAAAAAAAACCCTAAATCGTACCGGGCTGTGTGCCTCGCCGGGAGCCCGGCCAGTCTAAGACCCTAAACCCTAAACCCTAAACCCTAAACCCTAAACCCTAAGCCCTAAACCCTAAACCCTAAACCCTAAACCCTAAACCCTAAACCCTAAGCCTCTGTCGGCTGAGGTGGCAACGGACCCCCGGGCCGACCATGCTCCGTGGGCTCTCTGCGGCCTTACTTCGCCGGAGGCGGGAATCCTACTTCAAACAGCATAGGGTTTAGGGTTTAGGGTTTAGGGTTTAGGGCATCTAGATTTGGGGATTTCCGAAAATAGGGGACCCTAATATAGTACCCCAAATAATAGGATCCTTATTATGAGGACCCCCAAAATAAGGTACCCTAATTTTCGAAACCTCCCACTTCAAACAGCATAAGGGTTAGTTCTCTAAATCTGGGTCCCTTTTGGGGGGTCCGTTTTATAAGGGTGCCGTACTATAATGGGGACCCAAAAAGGGACCCTCATTTAGAGAACTACCCATAAGATGTTGCTTTTGTGTGTAATGAAGGCACATTAGGGTTTTCGTCTCCAGGAAGAAGGACCCCCAATGTAGCCCAAAGTAAGTAAGGACACCCAGACAAGGCCACCGTTTAACAGCAATCTCGTATAGAGTCCTACAGAACCCTGCAAGGCCTGCACGGAAGCTATGGAGCTGTTAAAGAACCGCAGGAAATCCGACCAAACCTTCAAAATTTCAACCCCCCAAAACCTAGGTTTGAGACCCCCCACTGGGTAGGGCCTCTGGCGAGGCCGATTAAACCCAACATGTAGTACAGAAATTAATTTCTCTGGAAACCACTACATTACGGCCTCTCGGTTCAAATCTTATAAGGAAGGCATCGTAAAGTTGTTTTTTTCCAAGATTCTCCTAGAGCCCTAAGACATCATATGACCTCGGTTATGCCATGCATTAATGCAGTGGCTTTGGGGTCTCTGACCAACCTGATCCGGAAATTCTTCTAAGAGCCCTTGTAGAACCTCTCTAGATTAGCTCCCTTGAAGGATCCTTCAAGGAACGCCCTATAGGTAGTTGTCTAAATTCGGATACCTTTTAGGGTCCTTTTTATAAGGGTGTCGTACTATATTGGGGACTTAAAAAGGGATCCTATTTTCGAGAACTACCCCTATCGACTCCTCAAAAGGAGCCCTTTTAAACCCTTACGAGGCCCAGCGAGTTTGAGCACCGCGGGCTAGCAGCGACTTCCTGGGCCTTGGCGGATGCTCTGCAGCCACCTGGCGAAGAGTGCCTTTTTTTTGTTGTTTCTGATGTTGGGTGTCATCTTTAAATTTTACGGGTTTTAAAATGAGGGTTTACGGGTCATATTCTAACAGGGGAGGTAAGAATGGCGTGTCTTGTTCTTCTGTTGTCTTGTAGGGCTTACCGAGGGTTGTGGTTGGGGCTTACACGGGACTTTGCAGGGCTTAAAGAGATTTTAGAATAGGTTTTACAGCCTCTTGGCGTCGGTTTAATTGTTATAGTAGTCGTTCGGGGTCCTGAATATAGGGCCTGAATAATTTTACAAGTATGTTGGGATGCGTGCGGACATGAGTCTAGGATTTGGATCTGGGATATATGCTAAATTTTGTGAGTAAGGAGCCCTATGGAATAGTAACCAGGTCAGGCTTGTCGATAATGAGTCTGTGTTTATTGGGTCCAGGGAGTGCCCGCAGGTTGCAGGATTCGGCTTTGGCATGTTGGTTTCAGAGTTTGCGCTTTGGAGGGTTTAGGGTTTAGGGTTTAGGGTCCCTAACCCCTAAACCCAAACCTTTACTAGTCTAAGGCTTTCAAGTCAGAAGTCAGATCGCGCCGAGCCGCATGGATACTCAGGTTGCCAATGCCTCCGAGTCGTCGCTGAGCCGGTGTCTGCTTCTGTCACCCAAGATCTCAGCATCCTTCACGCGTCTCTACTTGCACAAGGTAGAACTACACCGACCTCATGCAAGTATGGGGTCACCTCGTTACGATTTGCTTCTATGTTGGGGACCCTGCATTTGTCGATGAAGTTCTGCTGCGCCCACAGCACTTTGCAACAGTTTCTGCGCGCTTTGACCAGACAAACGGCCCGAAGATGGTTCGACGCAGCAGATGGGACTCGACTGTGCAGCCGTGCTGCTGATCGTGTTGCCGTTTCCTCACGGCTCTTCGATAGTCTTATACATATGCACAAGCGAGCTGAACGATGGGAAGCAGCAGCTTAACAATTTGCAACTTGTTTCGGGCGGCTGGCAGGGGCGCTCATGGACCTGGAGTGTCCAACGAAGCTTGGAATCCAAGACGAGCTCATGCCTGCTTGGCATTCGTTATTTTATTTCCTTGTCCGTTTGGTGCACTGCCTGGGAGCAATGGATGGATTTGGAGCAGATGTCTGATTTGACAAAGCACGAGGACGTATACATGACCGAAAGGCTTGGAAGCCTGGAACCGGAGCAATCTCGTCGGGAGATGTGGTCCGTCGAGTTGTTTCGCAGACTACGGGGCTGGATGTCCGACACTTGTGAAGTTGTCGCCTGTCCCGCTCGACTCATGCAAGTATGGGGTCACCTCGTTACGATTTGCTTCTATGTTGGTGACCCTGCATTTGTCGATGAAGTTCTGCTGCGCCCACAGCAACCTTTAGAGACATCTCCAGTTGTGGAAGCTTTGCAACAGTTTCTGGACCATGAAATAAATTCTTGCTCGAGCGCTCTTTTAGACCGCCTACATTTCTACGCTTTGACCAGACAAACGGCCCGAAGATGGTTCGACGCAGCTGATGGGACTCGACTTTGCAGCCGTGCTGCTGATCGTGTTGCCGTTTCCTCACGGCTCTTCGAGACTCTTATACATATGCACAAGCGAGCTGAACGATGGGAAGCAGCAGCTCAACAATTTGCAACTTGTTTCGGGCGGCTGGCAGGGGCGCTCATGGACCTGGAGTGTCCAACGAAGCTTGTGCGGAAACGAACCCGCAGGTTGATGAGATCGCTGCTTCTAATGTCTGATGGGACGACCAAAAGTTGCAAAGGCATCCAAGTTCCGCGACGCAATCTCGCCGGGAGAGCAGGTTTTCGGTATTTTGCATGATGACGGGTGTGCCAGAGTGGGCGGAGCAGGTCCCTCGGGTGGCCGGGCCATGGTCTGCACGAAGGAACTGCGACATGAAGGCTCCAGCCGGCGGTAAGTCGCGCGAGTTTTGGCCTGAGATCAATCGGACCCCGCACGTTTCAGAAGCAATGGGTCGTTTCCGAACCCCGGTGAAGGATTGCAAAGTTCCAGACGCGGACTGGGTTCAGGTCAACATGGACATGGCACAACAGTTTCTTGCCAGTCAGATGATCTGGCCGGACTGTGCGCACTGGCGCTTCCGATGACGGCGATGTCAAGATTTCCGCTGACACTGAGCCTCATTTGCCTAGCACCGGTCTCCGCGCCCAAAGCACGAAATGGCCAAAGCCGGCCGCAAGCCATAGAGGCCTCTGGAAGCCTCGGAGAAGCCTCGGGAACGTGCATTACGGGCAGTCGCAGGATGGCACCGCTGGAATACGAGCCGGGTGGAGTTTGGGGGAATCTGCTGAGGTGCGGAGTTTCAGAACCCTGTAAAATCTAGACGCCTCAAGTTGTGATTGGATCTTCTAGAGGTTACAACACTAAATCCGAAGCCCAAAACCTCCAAGTAAGCCGAGAACAGGCAGTTGCGAGTGCCTCGTTTCGCAAGCTCTTCTTCTTCTTCTTATCGCGACCAGCCTTGCAGCCGCTGCTGTTGATTGTTTGGGATTGCTTGCGGAAGATCGCACCAAGCCCGCAAATCTTAAACTATCTTAAACTAGAAGAGCCTACACCCTTGCATTAACATCAATGCCGCCGGTTGCAATCTGCAACGAATCCGAATGAGTCATTGGCCATCGAAGAAGGTGACCACGTTGTCCACCTTTGATGGAGCTAAGTATAAGCTATCCTTGTCCCGGTGCCGTGATACTTTTGTTCCTGTTTCAGGGTCTATCATAGGTTTTACGATTTTACGGTTTAGGCCGGGTTTGGGACTCAATTGAATCCTTTGTGATAATTATTGTTCCTTCAGAGTTTGTTGCGGTTTCAGCACGTCTCGTCAGTGGTGTTTGCCGATATATTTATGCTCCACCTCCTGTACGCAATGAGCCCTGACGAGGTGATCTGCTCGCAGATACAGTTCAGATTTCCTTCGTTGGCAAAGTGGCCCAGCTCATGCACACGGCGAGCTAAAGATAGCTGATGTCCTCTCGCGTGGGCTCCTCACTTCACCAGTTGAGGCTCTGTGTGCGTACTGCGGGAAAAGATATCAAGGATCGTCTGTGGGAGGGGCAAGGGCGGGATGGTTCAAGTTTTTGTTAGCGTACAGGGGCCTCCGGGATCACTTGCCATGAGCATAAGGTGCCGCAACCAGCGGCGGGTGTCTTGCGAATTCCTCGATCCCTGGTGGTGAAAATAGCGCAGTGTACGCAATCGCAATTTGTACTCGGCGCTGGCATTTGTTATCGCACTACTTTCTTTATGCAGGGACTATGAGGGAATAACTTTACTATGTTGTTCAGATCCGGACATCGCAGGCTGCAGAGCCCCCGTGTGTATGGCTTTAAGAACTCACGACTCACGACGAGACGACCTTGCAAGAGTGCCAGGACCTCCTTTAATCTGATGCAAAAGGATGGACACTTCACCCGAGGACCCCTGGTTTTCAGTCTGGGGCTTAGGATTGAGGCCTTTTGAGAACCTAATTTTACAACAGACACCCGAGGCTAGTCCTAAACACGCACTGAGGGTCTTGGTGTCAGGGTTTGGCAGGCCTCCAGCTTGATGCGCAGTCACGGCCGTGATAATGAAGGGTTCTGGAAATGAACATGAACCCGCAATCCAAGTCAAGTAGCCACGATGGTTTGACTCTCGCCCATTCTTGGCTCAGCTATCCGTCGCAAGATGCTTTGCCAAGCGATCCGATCTGTGAATTTATTGAATCTTACCTCTCTCGTAACTAATTACAGTGTCGGGTTAATATGAGATGAGAGTTAGGGTAGCCGATATCCCCAAACATCTGAGAGGATGATACGATGACAGCAACCACCGACCACAACTCTGCCCAAAAAACCCAAGATCAGAGAGCGGAAGGCGGGGAATGAGGTGCTACACCATGGGCACCGAACCAGCTTTGATCAGCTAAGACTTGCAAGCCTCGAGTCGCTCATGAAGGATACAAAGTAAGTGCATCAGAAGTATAAAGTATAGCTGCGATTAGCCCACTTGCGGTGGATTGAAGTCGGTTTGTAACCTACCTACCAAGTCCCAAGCAAAAAAGCTCCTGCAGCCACGGCGTTGCTGCTCGGCCTGCTTGGCAGGCAACGAGCTTGGAAGAGCTAGGGTTCAGGGTTCAGGTTTTAGGTTTGGGTCTTAAGGTTCCGGGAAGAAATGCAACATTCCAACCTTCCGCCCATCTTTGTTTAAGTTGAATTGGGCTCGCAAGAAGACTTGAAAGCATGGTAAGTTGTGGCAGCTTGGCTTGCTAAGCATGAAGGCCTTCCTAAACTTCAGGGCTCAGGTTGTAGAACTTAGACTTTTTGCTTCAGGTTTTAGGGCATTTTAGGATTGAGAGTTCAACCACGGTTCACGGCTTTGACTACTGTAGTCACTGGCCTGGGATTCAAAGCCAAAAGCAGGCTTTAAAGTAAGGCCGACCACCATCCTAGAAATTCTGGCGGGCCCTGGTACCTAGGCTAAAGCCTTCAACCCGCATCCCCTGCTTCCTTGGCAAACACCAATTGCGGTTTGTTTTTTGTGCGGCGGAAGTTTCGCGTCAACGTTTCTGGGCGCTTCGGGCATCGGCGCACTTGGTGATTCGAAACAACGACATCCTCTTCCGGTGCTGGCCCAATGCTTTTCCGCGCGCATCCTGTACGCAAGAAGGAGGTCGTCCTTCATTGGCCAAGCAACGGTGAACCGCGGGGCTTCGTGCTATGTTGGCCAAGCATGCCTGACATATATGGCAAGTCCGCGAGCAGCCTCGAGCCTTGGTCCACATGAAGAGCTGTCATCCGGGAGGCGACCCGCGTTTGCAAGACCAAGCCGGGTTCCAAAACCGGGGTTTGCCCTGCCGGCTTGTCGTCGTCAACGCCACCGCCGCCTCTGTGTCGTCGCCGTCGTCGCCGACCATGATTCGGAGTCGTCGTCGTCGTCGTCGTCGTCGTCGTTGAAACAGCAGAACTTGGAGGACTATAAGTCGTCGTCGTAGTAGTCGTCGTAGTAATCGCAGAATCGTAGTCGTCGCATAGTCGTTGTCGTGGGCCAAATATCAATGTGCGGCTGCGGATTCTGGGCCCTGGCCTTAACCCCGAAAATCCCTGAAAAGGAAAGTCCATAAGACGTTAAAGCCAGAAATCCCGACTTGAAATCTAAGCCTGGGGCCCAAAACTTAAACCTTGTATGGGGCCCTGCCTCCTAAATAGAAAGCCTTAAACTCCCGAACCCTGAAACCTGATAAAAGACCTTTACTGCATGGTTTAGCCTTATCTCAACAGGCCCCTGTCTCCATCTGCCCAATAGCTTTTCCTTTACGCATTAGATTCTCGATTTCGCTGATGTTCGGTTGTATGGAAGTTTAGTCGACTTCCGTTTTCGAGTCCAATGTTGTAAGGTACAATCATTATAGCTTAGCTTCGTCAGCTGGGTTCTCCGGAGCAGCAAGGACGAACGGCTATACATAAAATGTCCTTTGTAGGGAATCCCTAAGCCCTCAGACCTCAGTCTTAGCAGTTCGGCGAAGCCATGCGTACCCGGCCTGACTTCGAGGTTATCTTAAGCGATAATAAGTAGAACAGGTTTTAGGGTTTAGGGGTTTAGGGTTTCAAATACAACATCAGTAGGATTATAAGCAATGTCAGAGTATTCGTGGAGTGTATCTCGGACCCTTATGTGAAACGTGAGCACTATTACAACCGCCCTGATGCCTAAGGCTATCTACCCAAAGGCAACCCCGCATCTCACGTAATCTCTCAACATAGATTTCGAGGCGCAAGGTCCTGAATCTACAAAGCCGTACAAAGAGACCTCTCTTGGAATAACATCGGCATACTGTACATGAGGACTCTGCGGTAAGGGACTTGTCCTAACTCGTGTCCGACGCCAGGCATGCTCTTCACCAAACCGGCAACCGCGAAAAGACCCGAACCCCGTTTCAAAACCCTAAACCCTAAACCCTAAACCCTAAACCCTACTTCAAACGAGTCCTAAGCAAGGCATGCTTCCGCTCCAGCCGGCTGCACCGGCGGCGTTGCCCTCACGGGCACCCTCGCGGCCGGGCATCGAAGAGCTGCCCTCCAGGCGGGAACCCGGGTTAGGGTTTAGGGTTTAGGGTTTAGGGTTTAGGGTTGAGGATTTAGGTGTTTGGGGTTTAGGGTTTCGAGTTGGGGATTTAGGGTTGAGTGTTTAGGGTTTGGGGTTTAGGTTTTGGGGTTTGGGGTTTAATTAGGGAAACAGTAAACTGTAACAAAAAACTCCAAGCATCTTCCATGAAACCTGGCCAAGGATGAAGCCTTTGTAGGTTGCAGGGCCCAAGGTATTCCTGACATAAACTCGCGAATGGATCAAAGCATCCAGGCGCCACAATCAAGCCAGTTGAAACTCCCTGAATCAGCTTCGAATTTGTAAGCAGCTTTAGTTCCCTCGCGGGATTAGGAGGGGGCCGGGGGGGGGGGGGGGGTATGTATTCATGAGATCTCTGTTCCTTGGAAGAGTGCCGTACATTGAAAAGCATGGGATTGCAAGGAAGGCAATATGGTTGTGTCGGAAGATCCTAGTACACCCGGGCCCAAATCAAACGAAGTCCTTCCGCCCCAAACTCCTGCGACGTTTTCTGTTTTTCATTTGCCGAACGCAATCCTAAAGGAGTTGTTTAGGATCATTATGAATTATGGCACTACAGAGGGTTCCTAGTTCTGAGAAGATGAACCGCTGAACCCTCAACACCATTGAAAATAGTCCAGCACGAAGCACTGGAAGCCTACCTGCAG